CAGCGCGCCGTGTTGCGCGCATGATCAAACAGTACACCCATCCACATATATATATATAACTATATTAGCGCGTTACTACCCGCAGCGCTGTTGTTTTGTTGTCAACCGCGTCTGTTTTGTTTTTATCATACTGATTGACGGTGCTGTCGATCGCGCGAATCAGTCTTGCTTAGAGAGTTTTCTTGCATTAATCATATATTACCGTGACACTAATTTTTAGTAATTAGTATTCAGTGTTGTGCAGTTTTTGGCAACGATTACTTCAAGACATTTATACTTCGTCATAGGAGATTTATCTTAGCAGGGAGAGTATTAATTACGTTTCTTTTCTGACATTCATTTTTTTTTTCCACAATGTATGCGTTCAGTATACCTGCTATTTTTTTGCTGTGTTTTACGACTATGTAGCATTTTTCTGCCGTTGTATATACTTGTTGTCATAGTTGAAGCGAGTACAACAGAAAAATGGAAAAAAACAGCGTTTATGAAATAGATCTACAAGTTGTTATTTTTTTAATAACGCAAGAAAGAAAGGGTCAAGTATGCGTTAAAGCGTGTGTGTTAGTTTATGTTAGTCCATCCATATGAGAAAAATAACCGCCAGTGTTGCTGCATATATTTGCGCTCCTCTCATCTTTCAGAACTTTTCTCCCGCTAACTATGTGATGTACGTCCTTACGTCACAAAATTACCTTAATCTCAAAGTAAAAATTGTGAAAGAATAAAACGCAATAAAAATCAATTATTGTATTTACAGTATACAAACTTTTTTTTTTAAATCTTACAAATGTTGAAAAAATATGTAAAAATCGTATAAACAATTATATATGTATTGCAAACGTCATAAATTAATAATAATTAATAATGAAACTATTTGCTGAGGTGTTGTATGGAGCGAATGGAACCGGAAGTACGTCAAAAAGGGGGGTGAAGGGGGAGTAACATGCAAAATCCACTTCCGTTACACATTTTCTCAAGGTCGTCAATCTGACATCATTAATTTACTTTCACGCATAACGCGCCTATAGAAGTATAACTTCAAAAACGAATTTCTTAAAACTAATTAATATCTTTCCCAGAAAAATTTGAATGTTAGTTGAGTGTAACAATCCTAATAGTACATCATAAGTTGTTAAAAGCAGACTTGTGCTTAAGAACGGCATGGATGGGGTAGATATATAATCCACAATGATTTCAAGTGTAGGATTTTTCCGTTTATAATAAAAAATACTTGAAATATTCAGATAATACTTTTACATTTTTGACGATCATTTAAGTAAATGATAGACGCCATCCAATCAGTCAAGAATAATTTTTAATATCGAAACTGATTGTACCAGCCAGAAATATTTTTTCTAACAGGTAACACTGCAAAAAAATTCTGGGCACCGTCTTCCAAGCGATCTGCGGGAATTTGTGACAGACATTTTAATGATGCTGATTTAGTGGAAGACAATACCGGCAAAATAAAGGATTTAAAACGGAACAGTACTCCTATTCATTGGCAGGCTCCTGAAGCAAAAGTTGTTTATGACAATTATATGCAAAAATATCACGTAGCACACACACAGCAGCGATCTAAAGTAAAAAATATGGTACTTACAGAAACAACGGCTTTAGTTGACAATGCGTCTTCAGCATCATTTAGTAATGCTGATGTCTCGTCAGATAATGCTGATGGAGCATCAGAATCACTAAACGAATGTCAAGGCGTTCAAATTAATCCCATCAAAGTATCAGTTGATTTCCATATCGAACAAAGTTTTGCTGTAAATAGTGAACAAACTTTCGGCGTGAATGACGTAGTAGAGGAAATTCCGATTCTCAGAAAAAGACCAAGCGATGTAACGTATCCATCCGGTAAAACATTATTTTTTGATTTTGAAGATGTTGAGAGTAATGAAAAATACTTAAGTTATGAGAAGGACAGTCAAGAGAATAAGACTGAAAAATTTGATAGTCGCATCAACAATGTTTCTAACGTTTGTAATGTTCCAACGACCGATTTTAAAGTGTCTGATACAGCTAATTCTTCTTCAAATATAACTGATACAACTTCTTCAAAGATCAAATCAAAATCTACTTTACTCAAAGCTCGGCAGATGATTCTTAGACTCCGAAAAAGAGTTGCAGATTTAGAAGACGACAAAGCCAAGTACCAAAGATTAATTAAAAATTTAAAACAACAAGTTAAACGTAAGGAACACTCCTCCCAAAGTTTAATGAACACAGAAATTCGTACCATCGACATCTTAGAAGGCAAAGGTCTTTCTAAAGCTGCAACTATTTTAATTAAAATGCAATTAAAATGAGACAAAACCGAGTATAATGAAGAAGAAAGAAACCTTTGTAAAATTATTTATTATCATTCAGCAGCTTGTTACAGTCGGTTGCGGGACCTTAAAGTGCGGTTGGCCGGAGAATCAACGGTTAGAGGGTGGGTCGCTGAATACGATGTTTTACCGGGATTAAACAATGTAGTATTGCAAATGCTTGATAAAATGCTTACGTCGTTACCTCCTGAAGAACGCGTGTGCGCTTTGAGATTCGATGAAATGTCTATAAAATCCAGTGAAGAGTATTCTAAAGCTCAAGATTTAATTGAAGGGTTTGTTGATATGGGTGAGAATCGAAGGGGATCGAAATTAGCAAATCACGCGTCATTATTCTGTTTGGATAGTATAAATGCAAAAAATTCTTGGCGCCAATTATCGTCTTATGGATTTAATGAACATGGTGCATCGTGCGAAGAATTATACGATATTTTGTTGGAAACGTTAAGGGCTTTATTTAAGATAGGAGCGAATGTTAAGGCCATTATTTGCGATCAGGGTTCTAATAATCAAAAACTTGCTTGGAAATTGCTAAATTTATCCGCTAAAGAACCTTTTTTTTATCTTGATGATCGTAAAATTTATGTAATTTTTGATTGGCCTCACCTTATTAAAAGATTGCTTGTTCAATTGAGATTTTATATTCCGTTGGGGGGCATACCGATAAAAATTGGGTTTTTCGTTATTGCAAAATCTAAGTGTGCTTTTTTCATAAAAAAAAAAAAATTAAACTTGACATTTCACTTGACATTTCACCTGACATATCACCTGCTAATTTGGTATGATATTCACACCTGATATTCCACTTGAAATTTCACCTGATGATCGCCATCAGGAGGGAATGTAAGTATTAACGACTACTTAACCATCAATCTTATCGGTTCTTTTAAGGGCCACCTAAGTTTAAACTACTTTGCCAACAAATACATTTTTACTACCATTTCCAGAATTATTATTCGTCAACTAAAAGACTAAGTATGTAAAGCAGGCCACTATTAAACCAAGTCAGTCATTCACTGAGACGTCACGAGCAGAGTTGTTCGTCGCAAGGCTGGAAAACCCGGTGACCGACGACCCCATATTACCCCCTCGACTCTAAGCATGTAACCAGGAATCACCGATCCTCTCCAAGGTCTGCGCTGGGCGTACCTAACAGCTATGAAGGAAAAAAAAACTTGAGCCAACGGGAGTCTCCAACGGGCAAGCATCACAACTAATCTCTACTAATCTCTCCACCTTACATCATCAAAACAACTAAGTCTGCAAAAAAAAGGTGCTTTAGACACCAACGCCTTCAACGTTATGCCAGGAGATGTTGGGAAAGAGCACTGCAACTAACCCCAATGCTTCGGACTTTGTAATTTTTCTCCTGATTAGTCTGGGTCTTCAACAGCAGGCCAGAGAAGATCACCCTGAGGTATACAGGCAGTCACATTTGCTGTAAACTTTAGTCAAGAAAGAGTTTACTTAAAAAACTCACCGGTCTTTTTTAGGGCAATTGGACGTCGAACTACCTTGACAACAAATGTATTAGAACTTAACAAAGTTGACAGAAAATAGCCTTTAGTGGTCACAAAAGTCGTAAGTATGCTAATAGTCGCAAGAGGGTGAATTGGAAGGAAAACTTCAAATGTATTTAATGAATAAAATTTTAGGCGTCAAGAAACTGACGCAGAAAATTTATCGAAATTGGAACAGCAGCGTCAAAGTCGACAATTAAAGAATCCATTACGTGAGAGATCAGCTTTTCATTGTACCCTCACAGTAATCTCTTAAATCTTTCAGATTTTTAAATAAGTAGAAAGTGTATTTGTATTTCTGTGGTAATAAAAAATGTAGAGATTAAGCTTCAGGACTTCGTTGCTCTGGTACATCATAGAAAGTTACGGTTTGCTACGTTTTTTTACATTAACTTTTTCCGTTGGCGAAGCTTAATTTTTTGTTTTTTCAAGCGCTACAAGTGGTTGTTTTTTTAATTTGGTTTTTTTTAGCCTTTCTTTGTTCAAACACTGCTTTTCGGCACATTTCCGAATTTTTTTGAACAATGTTTATTCTACTAAATTTTTTATTCCTAAGTTATACATTGCATTTCCACTATCTAATTCCTAATTATTATCGCGTCGAAAAACTCCACTGAGAGATTTAAAAAAAATCAATGATTCTTTGCTTATATGGTCTCTGTACTATATATTTATGATGTTGATGAATATTCTAAGAATACATGATTGACTTATACAACGCCGTATGTTATATATTTCTGCTTTAACATTTTTTTTGTGCACCACGAAGATAAAACTACTTATAAGTATTTAAATACCTCGATCTCCACGGGCAACGGGTGGCGGTTTGCTTCCGAGCGAAGCGTCATTTGTCATATGTTTAGCGATTCTCTGATTTTTAATATTCAGACTCAGACTTAGACACGCCGTTAGTCTGTCAACGCTCAACGTAGACGTCATCACCAAGTAGATCTTGATTTAAGCGGACGGCAAGCTCTTTCGCAGCAACAGCAGATCCTCAAAATCGTGCGATCGCTCTTATTGAACAATCTGGCAAGAGTTCAGTCGTGGTCAAACAAGCTAAGCCGTTGGTAGGTTACTTCAGCGTTCATCTGCAGTCTATAGCGACAGAGACTGAGTTCGGCAGGCTATCGGCAAAAGGACTTGCATGTTTCGACGTCGGAAGATTAGAAATTCATCTACTGATTTAAAAGTACTACTTGTCATTAAATTATCCGCTTGCTTTATGGAATCACTGCTCAAATCGGCATGTATTTGAATTCGAGTTACTAACAAGCTCACTTTTCTTTGATTTTCAAATGTAAGAAAAGTTATCTACTAGTGTTTCTTTTTTTTCATACATCTGCATCCCATTCTAAACTACTGTGCTTTAAAGCAGAGATCGAAGTAATAATCAGCAAATGACTATTTTTGTACATATTTACTGATTTCAACCACACTGAAATGTCAAAAAAGTTATTTTTTCATCAAAAACACGTTGTGTATATAATCGTCAGCACGTCTCTGCTGGTTAGCAATAAGAAGTTTATTTTAAATGGTTGATCTAAGATTGAAGTGTAAAAAGTGTAACATAAAGTGAAATTTATGTTGCAGACGAAAACCATGGACAGCTCATGCATGGACTATTGCAAAGAACTTAAAAAAAATAAAAATCAGACGACGTGCTCATCGGCCTCTCCTCTACCTGGCTGTGCTAGCACCAGCCTGTCTTTGAGCGCGACACAGGGTCTAGGCAGCTCTAACTCTAAGCGACCAAGGTCCCTTTACACAGCCCACACCTACCAGGGACAGTACACTGAGGAGTCTGAATTTCGGACCAGCCAGACCCCAAGCTGGCACTGCCATGAACCAGCTGGATCGCGGTTGCACTTGTCCCCTCAACGACTTGCTGAGTTTGACCAACATCTGATAGAGTCACTACAGCCCTCCAAAGAGCAGTGGTCTCAACTGTCGGCCGGCTTTCTCGCTAATATCCCAGCCATATTGTGGCGTCAGCAGCAGCACCGTCATCATCGGCAGTACCAGTATCCACAGTCTACCAAGTATCTAGGCTTCAGCAAGTTGTACCCCAGCAAGGAGACCTGTGGCTATACTGAAAGTCTATCACGAGAGCATGAGCCCAAAACTGGTCTGTCCAGTGCCATAGTTACTTCTCATGGCACGATATCTCTTTGGCTGCACAATGAGATCCGGCTCGACATAACCATTGACAGAGCTGTCAGAATAATCAACTTAAAGGTCTCTTCCTTTCCTCCGCCTATACACTTGTCAATTCCATCCATTTATCAGCAAACAAATAGTACCAAACTTTTTTTTAATTTTTATTTATATTTCTATTCCCCTTCTATGGTGGTAAGTTTAAATACGAGTTATGTTATAAATACTTCTTCAAGAATACTACTTATCCATTGCTTCGTTTCCATTTCTTAAGCAGAACAACATTGTGCTATCGCTTAGTGGCTCTGGTTCCGCCTCAGCACTACTCCATCCCAATGGTCGCATATATCAGTATGGCTCACGTGTAGAAATCCTGGCCCACGACGTTCACAGAAACAACAAGTAAGTTAAGTCATCCTTTTAATTTTTACAATATTTATTAAGTTGATAACAATTATAGAAACTTGTAAATTTAAATTTATGTATATGCCTAATAATAGAAAGAACTGAATAAACAATCTCATATAAAATTTATTGCTTAGGTATGCAAAGATGTGGTACAAAGGGGTCAGTTTTACTTCAGAGCAGTGCGCCCTTGTGTATTTGGTCGATGCCGCAGGTGCAAGGACGACGACAGATACGTTTTCAGACATGAGTCAGGTAACATTCGTAGGTGTTTAACGTTATTTAGTCTATCGGTTTTGTTTTTTATAAATTTTACTCTCTACCAGGATTTCTCTGTGAACGTTTTCTATGCCGAGTCAAGGCATGGGCCAACATGCGTCCCCGAAGCTACTGCAGCTCTGTCAGCAGCTCAGTTCTGGACTACCGACGAGGGTGTGGAAAACTGGATCATCAACAATGTTCGGATTTCGCAGACTTTAGATGGACTTGTTAGGTACTTAATTTTTTTAGCCGAGTTTACCCACTGCTACTATATTCAATTAATCTGTATAGGCTTGAAATATTTAAAGTTTGCGAAACTCTTGCAGCAGACTGTGTGAAAATATGAATATTTTCTTCAAGACAATTTCTTAAACGATCATGAAATTTTTACAGAATTGCTCGGAACAGTAACAAGTACCAATTAAGAACTTCACCAAGTAATGGAACAGCTTCATTGACAACGCCATTTTTGCATTGCACAGCGTCTCTAGGTCAAACACCTCATCTGTTCGTACGTCGCGGAGAGAGGCGCATGCACTATGATGGCACTAGCTTTATTGTAAGAAATGCCGGGCACAGTGCAGGTTTTGATGATAACAACCAGCTAAAAGTTTTCTAAACTTTTTGCCGTAAATACAGATATTAAAAACAAAAACCAACGTTGCATGCAAATTCCGTTTGTATGAGCATTAATCCATCAAATTCGATGAGAGATACTGTGTAAGACTACATGCTTTTAGCGTTATATGACAAGAAATTATTAAACATAAATTTCAAATGTTTTATGCTTGGTACTAAATATTTTCTTAAGCCATTTAATAAGTTAATTTATGAATTAGTTGTGAAATGTATGAGTCAAAACACCACACACTGGAATATTTTTTAGTGTGATTTATTTACCTTATACAACAAAATAAATAATTTAATCACGCAGTAATTTGAAAAACAACACAGTATCCGTTAAAATTCGCTTTTTAAGAGATAAAGTACTGGCACCACAATAATAACCAATCGCACTCAGAATCATAATTAAGTGATCCTGAAGATGTCACAGAAGATTACTGTATACTACTTTTGTCATGATCTAGACAATGATTATTATACTCATAATTATTAATTTTAACAGTACAATAGTATTCATTAGTCGTGATAATGATCATCATTATTTTCACAGCCGTTATCACTATTATCATCATCATCATCATCATCATCATCATCATCATCATCATCACTATCATCGTCATCATCATCGTCATTATCATCATCATCATCATCATCATCATCATCATCATCATCATCATTATCACAATTGTCATCATCATATTCATCATCGTTATGGTCATCATAATGATAATAATAATAATCATCTTCATCATCATCATCATCATTGGAAGAGTCTGTATCAAAGCCATGGCCTAGTTTTGGTCTAATTTTGTTACTGTACCTAAAAATTTATCTTTTAAAGTGATTATTGATTATTGATTAATCGCAAATTAGTGTTCAAAATTATAATACTTAATTTAAATATTATATTAACTGTTATTTCATATAAAATTATAATCTACATATTCAAAAGGTAACTGATTATCAATTGTAATCACTTTTATTTTACTTCTCTAGTATGTTAAAAAATTTAAGTCTTACTTAGACTTATTGGTCATCATGAAAACATTAGTTTGTTCAAGCTTTTGGTTCAATTCAACAGTTGGATGTTGCTTTCCCTGAAATTTCTTCATTTCAACTATCATCTCGTTAAGAAAGTTTGCTTCAAACAGATGAAGTCTGTTGTTAGATGAAAAATTCAATAACTTTGCTTTGTACTTTTCATAACTATTACCAAGTTCTCCAACTTTGGCTAACCCTCCAGTTTCAATGTTTTCCACAATGTATTGTAAAACTGAATAGGAGTTGTCTCCAAGGTGTTCTTGTCGAGACTTAAACATTTTTTCCAAGCCGTGCTAATAGAAGACAATCATGTTGAATCTCCAAAATTCAAAATTTCAGAATTATTACATATGTTTTTTCATACCTCTGTTGAAAACAAGCAATGATAAAAAGCATTGTCTGTTACTAATTTGACATAAATAAAACTTGCATCATACAGTTTGTATTCTCTTATTTGGTTATGGAGATTCGAACATACAAACCATTCTTTCAGTGTGACTTTGATTTTCATGTTTGAAACCGGTATTTTATAATACAATCCATACAATAGATATAATCCGAAAACTTGTTCTATAAATTCATTATCTGATAACATCAACTGTTTTGCTATGTTCAAAGATTCTTCACAGAATTCCAACACTTCTGCAAAAGTTTTTCGATATCTGTAATTCATGTAATGGTAAATGTATCATTGAAAAATAAATTCTCAACTTAAAACAAAAGGCAATATTACTATCAAAAAAAAATTTGTCTGCAAAAAGAAAAAACAAAGCAATGGGATGTTAAGGTTTTTGTCCATGTTATTACAAAAAAAGTTGAAAAATACAAATTTTGAAGGTATTTAAGTTATAAATCTTTTTCCAAAACTACGGTATTGTGACATCGTTCTGATTCAGAAAGGACTTAATTTTGTATTAACATAAGACAAAACTTGAAAAAAAATTTGTATTGCAAGATGTATTTTGTAGTTTTGCAAATAGTTTCAAGTTCATAGTAATATTGCCACTAGAATAAAGTACAAAAAAGAAATACACAAAAATAAGCGGAAACTTCAAATCCTTCCAAACTTTAGTAAATGCTCCAAAACTCAAACTATTCTGACTTTTGAACAGATCTAATAAATTAATGCAATCATCGTATAATCCACTTGCTACGTACGAAATGTCTTGTGTAGCCATTTCAAATAACTGTTGTCTACAGAGACCATCTACAATTTGGTTGAATTACGTTATGTTATCAACAAATATATACGTCAATTCGATGTTATCAAACCATCTTAATTTCTCCTGTTGGGGGGTGGCAAATTAGTGGTATCTTACACCGTGTAAGATTAATACACACAGGTAATTAATGTACGTGAAATAATGGGTATTTATGACACGACGAGTAATTAATGTAATTAACTCTCAGAACTAGTGTTTTTACACGAATTTAAGAATTTGGAAGCGACAATAACCTTAAATTATTTATCATACCCTCGTGCAAAACAGTATGAGTTGTGATTACGAGTTGATTGTGTTCCCTATCTCAAGTTATGACGTCAATGATGACGTCATTCCAGGCATCGCCAAATATGTCATTCATGACGTCATGAATGACATCACATTGACGTCAAAATGACGTCATTTGCGACGTCGCAAAAAACGTACTCCACGACGTCTTAAAAGACGTCATTTACATAGATTGTTGTTTAACAAAGGGATGTTTGAAAGCATTTGATGGCCTTGTAGGTGCTACCATCAGAATGGTAACACTAAAACCGGGAGGTTCAAGTATTTTTTATAAAAAAAAAAAAAAAAAAAAAAAATTTTCTCAAATAGGGAAAAAACTTTCTAAACTCAAAAACTTTTCGAATCCCTTTGTTTTGGTGTTACCATCTTGATGGTAGCCTACAAGGCCATCAAATGCTTTTAAACACCCCTTTGTTAAACAACAACCAATGTAAATGACGTCTTTTGAGACGTCGTGGAGTACGTCTTTAGCGACATTGTAAATGACGTCATATTGACGTTAATTTGATGTCATTCACGACGTCATGAATGACGTATTATGCGATGTCACACATGACGTCATGATTGACGTCATAACTTGAGATAGGGTTCTTTACTCAATAATTCATATTATCAGTGATAGTGGTTTCTTTTATTTATGTGTCCAAAGTCTAACGTATGTTTTTATAAATTTTTCAATAGTATTTATTTGTGTCATACAATATTTATTTTAAGAGCCTCTAATGCATTTCAGGTATTGGCCCTCTGCATTCTTACATTAATTGAAATTATTACCAATTATAATATTAATTACATTTATGACATGTCCCGATCAAAAAGCTTAATTAATAGGGCTCGGGCACATGGAACCGCGTAAAGCGTAAAGCGTATCGCGTATCGCGTAAAATTATAGGATCAGAGAAAGTTAGGTAAGGTACGCTTTACGCGAAAAAATTTGTCATCGCGCACATGGTAATAAGAAATACGCGCGTACGTGTTTTTAAACCAATCACAGCAAGTATTTCGTTGGCTTTGCACATGCTGTCTCGCTCGCACTCATGGCAAAAATAAAGTTACGCCCGTATTTTTTACTCCCATGTGCGCGATGACAAATTTTTTCGCGTATAGCGTAAATAAAGTATGCAAGCTGTAAATACAGTCAGCAGCTAATGTCAACAACAACATTTACAGTATCAATTGTATAATTAATCGAATTTCTGACATGGATGAAAAATAAATCGTAAGAACTTTGGGCAAATTGTGGAAAGTCTATACGACCTATGCAATGACCCAATGTCGCAAAGAAAAAGTGTGAAGTGTAATGATCCAACTGTATGAAAAGTATTAACGGATCTTAAAAAAAAGAAAAAATGACGTATATACTTAAAAAAATTTTTTTCTGACATGTACGGAAGTTAGAATTCACTTGCATTGAGAAATTCGAAAGCTTTTTTTGTTGACTAGACAGCAGATTGGTCAACTCCCCTCTATACTTTAAACTAATGCGATACGCGAGGCTTTTACGCTTTTTCTATGTGACCACTAAGTGGCGTATACCTCACCTTCCTTACTTTTACGCAATACGCGATTCGCTTTACACGGTTCCATGTGCCCGAGCCCTAAGAGGCAATGATGGCCAGGTAGAAAAACGGTTGTAGAAAAGGTAAGTTTTCTACGCGTAGAAAACACGTAAGATACTGTAGAGAATTTCAAGGCTCTTCTAAATAGTTTTCTACATGGAGTTTTCGACACTGTTATAACCTTAATTTCAAGTAAATGCACATAAATTCAATATACTGAGTGAGTGTAAGATACGTATTAGTTGTTGAATTAAAATTTTAGGTGCTTTAAGTACAAATATTTTTTTTTTGGTCATGTCCTTATCTGTATTCAGTTTACCTTTCTCGATTTATTTTCCTCTGTATCTCAACAATGTAATTTGATAAACTTATAAGCAGGTACATTGCACAGTTCAATAGAGAAGCTTTATATTTATTTAAATATCGTTTTGAGGTTAACAAAATATTTCAATTCCGTTTTCTACGTTTTAGACGGTTTTCTACAGTTTTCTACGTTGTTGACAGTTTCTTACAAATCTACATTAGAATACTGCAAATTTTGTATAAAACCCATCCCTGTAAGAGGGCTTTATGTTGGGCCTACATTGGTTACCCAGTTACCTACCCGACAAGAAATGGACACTAGACGGCCGTAGCTGAACACCAGGCCCTGGCCAGTATTGTAATGAGGTTATCGAAAGAGTATGGCCAGGCCCTGATGTTGTACTACATATATAGGTATACTGTACAACCTTCGACCTTCGAGACGTGACACACCCATGCACATACATATGTGTATAAACATACACACACACTTCCATTATTCTTCTGTTTTTTTATGCTTGTTAATTTGTTTATTTAATATACATTAAATAACATATGAGTGAAAAAACTCAACGACTAGAAGAAAAATTCTGAGAGCACACAAATTTTGAGAAAAATAATTAAGCTTAATATAGCAAGATGGCTACGAATGCAAGCGAAACAAATAACCAATATATTAGACCGATTTTCCAGTGAATTATGATCAATGCGATGATCAAGACAGTATTTCTGAGTTTGTACCTAGTGTAATGATGTAACAATTAAAAAACTTCAATTTGTAAAAATTCAATCATCATTTTTTTGTATGTTCTAAATAATAAAACATTGCATGTCACTAAAAAGCGCCAATCCCTGATCAACCCAGGGCGCTTACTGGTCGCTAATGTTAATTAAAATAAATCAAATAATGCAAGCGCCAATCCCCGCACAACTCGAGGCGCTTACTGGTCACTTTATTTATTTAAAATAAATCAAATGACGCATATGTGCCGATCTCCGCACAACCCAGGGTGCTTATGATCGCTTTATTTATTTAAAATAAATCTAATAATGCAAGCTTCAATCCCTGAACAACCTGGGCGCTTACTAGTCACTTCATTCATTTAAAATCGATCTGATACCGCAAGCGCCAATCCCTGCGTAACCTGGGGCACTTACTGGTCGCTTTATTTATTAAAAATAGATTACCCCTGCGTTACTTAATTTATTTTAAATAATTTTTAAAACCAGTAAGCACACCGGGATACCCAGTAGTTGCCGCTTGCGTTATTGTACTTATTTTAAATATATAAAGCGACCTGTAAGCGCCTTGGGTTGTGCGGGGATCGACGCTTGTGTTATTAAAATCAATGCAAATAAATAAAGCTACCAGTAATCGCCCCAGGTCGTGCAGGGATTGGTGCTTGCGTTAGTTTACTTATTTTCAATAAAGAGAGCGACCTGACAACGCCCCAAGTTGTGCAGGAATAAGGTCTTGCGTTATTTGATTAATTTTAAATAATTTTAGCGACCAGTAACCGTAATGGGTTGCCTAGTACAGAGCGATTGCGTTATTGTACTTATTTTAAATAAATAAAGTGATCTATAAACACCCTGGGTTGCGTGGTAATGGGGTCTTGCGTTATTTAATTCATTTTGAATAATTTTAGCGACCATTATGCACTCAGGGTTTTGTGGGAATTGGCGCTTGTATTAATAGATTCATTTCAAATAAATAAAGTGACCAGCAAGCACCCAAGTTCGTGCGGTGATTGGCCCTTGCATTATTGTACTTATTTCAAATAAATAAAGCAACCAGTTAACGCCCCGGGTTGTGCTGGAATTGGCGCTTGTGTTATTTGTTTTACTTTAATTGAATAAAGCGACTAGTAAATACCCCGGGATGTGGACAGACTAGCGCTTGCGTTATTAGATTTATTTAAAATAAATAAAGCTACCAGTATGCACTCTGGGTTGTGCGGAATTTGGCGCTTGTGTTGTGAAATTCAATGCAAATAAATAAAGCAACCAGTAATCGCTCCAGGTCGTGCGGGGATTGATGCTTGCGTTATTTTACTTATTTTTAATAAATAAAGCGATCTGTTAACGCTTCAAGTTGTTCGGGATTCTGATATTGCGTTATTTAATTCATTGTTAATAATTTCATCGACCAGTAAGGGTCCAGGGTTGTGCGATGATTGGTGCTTTCGTTATTTAATTTATTTTAAATAATTTTTAAAACCAGTAAGCACACCGGGATACCCAGTAGTTGCCGCTTGCGTTATTGTACTTATTTTAAATATATAAAGCGACCTGTAAGCGCCTTGGGTTGTGCGGGGATCGACGCTTGTGTTATTAAAATCAATGCAAATAAATAAAGCTACCAGTAATCGCCCCAGGTCGTGCAGGGATTGGTGCTTGCGTTAGTTTACTTATTTTCAATAAAGAGAGCGACCTGACAACGCCCCAAGTTGTGCAGGAATAAGGTCTTGCGTTATTTGATTAATTTTAAATAATTTTAGCGACCAGTAACCGTAATGGGTTGCCTAGTACAGAGCGATTGCGTTATTGTACTTATTTTAAATAAATAAAGTGATCTATAAACACCCTGGGTTGCGTGGTAATGGGGTCTTGCGTTATTTAATTCATTTTGAATAATTTTAGCGACCATTATGCACTCAGGGTTTTGTGGGAATTGGCGCTTGTATTAATAGATTCATTTCAAATAAATAAAGTGACCAGCAAGCACCCAAGTTCGTGCGGTGATTGGCCCTTGCATTATTGTACTTATTTCAAATAAATAAAGCAACCAGTTAACGCCCCGGGTTGTGCTGGAATTGGCGCTTGTGTTATTTGTTTTACTTTAATTGAATAAAGCGACTAGTAAATACCCCGGGATGTGGACAGACTAGCGCTTGCGTTATTAGATTTATTTAAAATAAATAAAGCTACCAGTATGCACTCTGGGTTGTGCGGAATTTGGCGCTTGTGTTGTGAAATTCAATGCAAATAAATAAAGCAACCAGTAATCGCTCCAGGTCGTGCGGGGATTGATGCTTGCGTTATTTTACTTATTTTTAATAAATAAAGCGATCTGTTAACGCTTCAAGTTGTTCGGGATTCTGATATTGCGTTATTTAATTCATTGTTA